ATTTTTTATGAAAAAGTTTTGTTCCCCTTAAAAAAAAAAAAAAATTTAAAAAAAAAAAAAAAAAAAAAAAAAAACCACACAAAAAACAGTGATTGTTAGCGCACTCTTTTTTACTGCAGCTATGACTTTATATCTGATTTTCTACGAAACCTTGAAGTTAGGGATCACCGGCAAATTTAATTCTGGAATTTGACTTCTTTGTTTTCCATATGTGGATCATTATGAAAAAAATGTAACTCATATTTGAGTTTTGACTTTACTCCTTTTTTCATGATCAGAAAGATAAAAATCAAAATTTCTGAAAAATAAAGCCTCTCCTTTATCTTTGACTGATTATCAAGAACTCAAATGGTCAGATTTGTTGGACAAAAACTCAAATTGGGAACTGAACTAATTTTTAAAAAATATCAATTTCTGCTTTTTTTAGCCTAGGTGATCTCTTAAAAATTAGAGGGAGTTGTTGTTGTTAACCTAGCTTGCCTTTTAAATAAAAAAAAAAAAACTTAGAAATTTCCATTTTCTTTTTTTTTTTTTTTTTTTTTTTTTAATTTTGGGAAACAAAACTTAAGGTAGTAAGGGCTAAAATCTGCAATTTAAAGAATCTATATTTGCTCAGGTTAACCCAGATTTGACTAATCTACCTAATCTAAGATAGTAGAGATGGGAAGAAAGAAGTGGGAAATAAGTACAGTTTCTATAACATATAGAAACTAAAACCCAGATTGCTAAATGTTTTCTTCACATAAATATTAAAAAATATTATAAAAACTGACAGAAATCTAGTAAGTTTACTCTGGAAAAGTGTGGTATTTGGAAATGGAAAACGTAGGAACCGTATTAAATGCACATCAGCCATGATGGATCTTAATGTTGGTAATCAGCACTGAGTGACAGTTGGAGAGTTTGCTGGCGTAGCCACGGCTAGCATGGTGATATGGAGGCTGATAGCCAGCTGCAGTGCTTCCTCTCAGGAAGGGTGGACATTTTTGTGCGTTTGTGGTGGAATTCTAGGAATTAAAACAGCAATCCTTTCTGGAGCACGAACAGCACTTAAAAACATGCAATCCTGAGTGCATTTTCACATCTGCCATTGTTGATGTGTGAACACTGGGGTATTGTTGGGAAACGTGTGTATCTGAGTGTGTATTGTGTTGATCTGTTGATTCCCCTGAGCTTAGCAACTGGACAGCTGGCAGCAGCGCTCTGTAATGCTCAAAACTGGACTCTACAGTATTTACATTTGAATTATACATTTTTACTGCAGCGATTCAAAAAGGTTTTGATGGACTTGTCTGCAGTTTTGTGATGCTACAACCATAAACCAGCACGTTTTAGTGCATTGGTCCAACCCAAAATAGCTCACAATTATGAGGCGAGAATACTTTGCAGTTTTTACCAAAATTTTTACAAGTAAAAATAAAAAAAAAATCTGTTGTGCATTTCTGTTCAGTTTTGCTTTTTCAAATGCATAAGTTCAAATTTTACATGCAAGCCACAAACTTTTTGAGTAACATTTGGATGCATGTGAAGTATGACTGTAAGTGTTTTGATTGTCTTTATTTTCATTCTCATCATAAGTAGGTAAGGTTTTGTAAATCATGTATTATTGTTCCTAGATAGATTTACCACCATCTGTCTGCTCTTCAGTGACATAGAGCACACTTTAAAAAAAAAAAAAAAAACCTTTTTAGGTCAGCTCTACAATCTACTCTAGAAAGATTAGTTTATTATGTGTGAAGTAATTTAGAGAGTCCCTGAATAGGCCAAGGCATTGATGTTTAGTTTTGTAACTAATATGGTCAGAGTGCCTTTGTTTAGCTATTGATCCGAGCTGAGAATGAAGTGCAGAGGTCAGTTTAATTGGAAACAGTGAACTATTAGTCAATCAATGTCTGTGGCTGTACATTCGTGCAGGGAGATAAAAATACAGCCGCCTCTACTTCATCCTGTCAGACAGTTTTTTTTTTTATTCATCTATTTTTTTATCCACCAATTACATAAGAGTTTAAAAAAAAAAACATCTTTTCTCACTGTTCCTGCTTCTCTCCAGGCTAAAACCCTCCGGAAGCTAATCCAGCAAACATTCAAGCAGGTGGCCAATCTCAACGACGAGCAGTGCATCCTCAAGTTCCTGGAGATACTCGCACCGATTTACCGCTACGACAAAGAGTTATTTAAATGTGCCCTGGGGGTAGGTGTCTCCCACGTTACTCCTGAGAAGCAGGACTTGGTGTCCCTCTGTGTGCTGCAGAAGCGCTAGATTGACCCCTGTTGGTGGCATCCGGTCCTGCATTTAGTCTTTTTTTCTTTTTCTTTTTTTTCGTCTCTTACAGTCCAGCTGGGTGATTCAGGTAGAGTTAGCCATCGGGCCAGAAGAAGGCATCAGTTACCTCACTGATAAGGGATCAACGGTAAGTATCAGATGCACACTTACTAATAAAGACTCTGTTTCATAATTTTACACTCTGTTATTTTGATCTGTCACTTGAGTTTGCGGTTGCAATGTCACAAAATATGAAAAAGACACCGACGTGCTTTTGGCATTGTGGATTTCAGCAAAATCGATCAATCGCAATCATTGTAACATATTGCTGAACCATTTCATTTTTTTTCTTGTGCTTCTCTGTCTCCAGCCAACACATTTAGCAAACTTTAACCAAGTCCAGTCCATTCAGTACTCGGCTATGGAGGAGAAAGACAGGAAAGGCATGCTGCAGCTGAATGTAGCTGGAGCTGCTGAGGTACTGTCTGTCTGTCTGTCTGTCTGTCTGACGCACTGTGACCTCCTTCTGGACATAATTCAGGTCATCTGCCCTAGGTGTAAATATTGTTCTCCACCAATCCTGATATGCAAATATTAGACTTTTTTTTTTCCTCTTCTTTTGTATATCGAAGAAAATTTGTCATTTAAAATCCACAAAGATTTAATTAACGACTGCCCTTTATGTTTTTACAACAAACTGTTTAAAAAAAAACCTATACTTTAATGTGCACTGCCTGCGACATTTATTATAAGACGTTTAAGAAGCGTTAAAATAAATGTAATGCATGTATTTTTATTGCAGATGCACAATCTCACTCTGAAACTTTTATAAAAATCTTCTCTTTATGTAGTTGGAAACAAATCCTCTTGCACATTTATTAGTACATATAATAATCTCTAGTTAATTTAGTTGTAAAGTGAATGAGGGTACAGTCTATTGAGGGAATCTATGTTGCAGTCAGTTGTTTTAGAGGCAGCCCAGGAAAAAAACACAAAAAAAACTTTTGTTTTCTACCATCACAAATGTAAACATGGAGTTTGTTAATCTCTGGTGGGACTCACTTGTTGGGATAAAAAAAAAAAGATTGGGTTTCTCTACATCAACAAATCATGCCAGCTGTTAATGGAGGATGTGTATTACTGCGGGCCTGCTTGTCTTCAAACGGCACAGAAATTCTTGGCATCATGGTCTCACAAGAGTTCTGTAGAACTTCAGTAGAATTTCTACGGAATTTAAATTCTAATTTTAAAATTCTGTCCTGTTGACCAAAGAGGGGACTGTGATTTTTCCTCACTGATTAAAAAAAAAATAAACTTAACCACAGGTTGTTGCCCTTGCTGAATTAAAATGCCCAAACTGAAGGTTTTGTTCTTCGATCAGAAAAATATTGTATTACTGAGGATTTTCACACATTTGGCTGGAGCTGTATATCATTTGTCTTTTCCTTCTCGAGGTTGACGCTATAATTTTGATGTCTGGAGGTTAAGCGCTGTGGAAACGGGAAAAGCGTGTCGCTCCATGTCTAACATCTAAGCAATGCTTTGTTTAACTTGAGTCAGTATTGGTTTATTGGCGTTGGAAGCGCAGGATTTACAAACACATCGTTGGTGCTGTTTGTCGGAGAATAGTTTTCCCTGGTGTCAGAGGCAGCTGGAAACCACATGGATTAAACTTTCTGCCTATTAATTGATCGTACGTGTGTGTATATCTTTGTGTGAGATCATCTCTCTCTGTGTGTGTGTGTGTGTGTGTGTGTGTGTTTGCTCGTACAGCCTCTCACAGTTACAACAGCGTCGCTCACCACGGCGGAAAACTTGGCTGACTTGATTGATGGTTACTGTCGGCTCGTCTCCATGGAAACGCACTCGTTCATTGTCAGAGTACAGAAAGGTGGGTGCACAGGATCACTTAGAAATATTAATCTACAAGGAGCAAATCAGCACTAGATACACACCTTTCAGACCTGCTGTGTCATTTTATAGTTTCTTAAATTTAGTTTTGAAAAAGTACTTGTTCACAAGAGAATGTATTAATTTTCCTGTATTTGGAGTTTTTGGCTACTTCTCAGTTTGCTCTACATTCTTTTCATTCACAAATATGAATTTAAAACGTTTATTTTGGAGTTTTTATTGACCAGAATATGAGTCACTATACAAAAAAATGATGATATGAGATTTTAATTTCTTCCTGTGTATCAGCAATCATTAACTTTAAATATTTTTAGTAATATAAATGTCCCATTTTATTAATATGCATTATAACAGTAACATTTTTACATAAAATGTAAATAACTCCTTTCCTGAAGCTGAGGTCAGTTATATTGTGGAGATGATTAATTACATTTTTTACATTTAAACTACAAAAGCACAAACAGACTGAGAAGTTATTGTAAATCCTTTTTTTTTCATTAGTGTTGCAGCTCTTCAAGTGATTTTCTTTCATTGTAAAACATTAAATGACTCAAACGTTTTTCACATAATCTAACTCTATATTTTTTGTTCTCTGAGTGTTTTGCACAGCTAACTATAACAAATTTGATTTGCTGTCTCCTGAGTTTATTTTGACTGCAGTGTCTGCTTTTATCCTCTAGAGGGAGAGAGAGCTCTGCCTTCCATCCCAAAGTAAGTCCCTGAATCTGTCATGTTCACATGTGGCTCCTGTCAAAGCTTTAAGACCTCACATTGGTAATACAAGCAACATTCTTGTGGGTTTACCACGCTGATTGAGCTTGTAGCAGCACAACTGACATGAAGGGCTCGTTTATTTTTCTACAGAAACATTGGGTGATTAGTCATTTGATAATATTAAGTTTCTTGGAAGATGAGTGATTATCAACATCAAAATCTGTTTCATGGTTGTTTTCTTTAAAAACAATGGACCAGAAAACCAATGTACATGTTTGGGCATGTAAAGCATAATCTAAGTTTTTCCAGAGAATCTGTTTGTCTGAGGGTGTTTCCCCAGAAAACAGAAGTTCCTAATTTCTAGAAACAGCCACATCTATTATAGATCTTTTTTCCCACCAGTTGCTAAAACAAGATGATGCAAAGTAAAACTAAATTTTCTAGTGAAAAGATAAAAATCATGGTAAATACTTATTACTCAGAATAGAAAAAAAACTTACCTTAAACAACAATTCCCTGCACTATTTATATTTTATATTTCTCTTTAAAGCCTTTACTTCAGAAACACTGAGCCTCTCTCTCTATTTTCGGTGGCGATGTTTGTTGCTTAATAACCCATTCACTCTCACTTACAATAAAAGAAAAAGTCTGACGATTTTCCAGTATTTGAAGTTTGTGTTTATCTAGATTTCAATCAAAGATCCAACTCTCTGGAGATCAGGTAGTTATTTGCAGCCTGGCCACACATTTCTCTGTCTCTCGCTGAACTTCAAACATGAGCAGTTTTGCTTACTTTTCAACCTAAATCTCTCCCCCTCACTCTGTTTCCTTGGTCAAATAAGGAGATAAAGAAGGAAGCCAAATATTTTCCACTTTGGGTATTTAAACACTCTTAGTCTCCTCCTTCCTCTCACTTTGCTCGCTGCTTCTCCTTTCTCATTCCCTCTTCAATTAGTGACGTTAAGACCTTAGTGGAGCTCAGCTGACACAGAGCAGCAGACCACGGAAAAGAAACACCATAAGGATCAGTCTACAGCGAGACACAGTCATGGTTTCCTTTCTCTGCTTTTAGCGAGCTGCATGAGGGAGCGTGAACATGCCGTGGTCGTTTAATCTGTTTACATGAGCTCACTTTTGGAATCACTTGGGATTTTTCACAGTTTTTCTTGGACTAGGAACGTTTTTAGTTGTTTACGTGTTGACTGAATTGGTTTTCTATGCTTTTTCTGTTTGAATTCAGAGTTTCCAACAATGAGAAAAAGTTAGAGGCAGTCCGGAGCGGAGTAAGAACGATCTCTGTTTCTGGTAAGATGCAGAGCCATGCACAGACTGGTTTGAGATATCTTCTTTCCACTTCCTCCAACATCTGCTTTTTCCACACTTCCTTTCCCTCTCTCTTTTCCTGCTGCCTTTTGTTTCTGTCCTTACTTGTTTTCCTCACATCCATTCACTCTTGTTTTTTCCTCTCACTCCATCGTTCTCTTCCCTCACCTGATTGGCTAAAGACCTAGCGACATCGACGTCCCCCAAGCCAACCAAGGCTCGGCGTTTACTCCTCCCCTTTGTCTTCTGCTCAGACTCGCCGCCCAATGGTATCGCTGGCTCTTATTGGAGTAGAAGAGCATGTGCATAAAATTGTGATGTGGCGGAGTGAAATTTCTGACCATCATGGTTCTTTCAGGAGAAACAAAATAGGCACTGAGAGCCTATAAAGAAAGAAGCCCTCATTGCCTCTGGAAAATACATAAAGTCTAAGGTTTCTTTGCCTATTTTATAGTCCCTTACTGCTCCAGAAAGAGACTGCAGTTGAAATGTTTTTTGGCAGGAGAACCTTGAACATTTTGTCTCTTTCTGATGTAATGTTGAAACGGTTTGTGTTTAACCGTTTGAGCCGCTGCATCCCAATTGGCCAACGTTTTGCCTGCTTGCTCTGGCTTATTTACTGTTGCATAATTTAAGCAATGTAACATTTTACATTGTTGCATAAAGCCGTTGCATCACTGACAAGAAAACTTAACACAACATTAAAAAAAAAATCTCATTAATGATCGTGTTTTGAGTCTTAATAATTTATGTGGATTGAAGCCTGAACAACCTGAAGACATGAATTAAAATAGTTTTCCCTTTACATAACTTTTTACTGGATTCACACAATGCCAGCAAAAGATTTAGTTCCATTTCTACTGATGAATGTTGCAACGACTTTTTGATCAGAATTAAGGTTCATATTTGGGGAGTTTTAGCATCTCAGCCACTGAAATATACATCAAATGTGAGTGAAGGCAGTGAAAGTTTATCCAAGAGATCTGATATGTTAGCAGGATTTACATGCATGGCATCAGTATTGATCATCAGAGTTGAGATGAGCTAACTTTGAGGCTTCTTCAGTCACTCACCGCACCAACACCGAAGAGTGTTGTGCTCACCGTGACCTGGTAGAACATTTGGTGCATTCAGTAGGAAACAAAGACAGGATTTTTGTGTTTCTGGTCCACCGTTTAGTGTCCCTTGTCTATGAAAATCTGGACTTTGGGCCATTTTAACACAAAAATGCATCTGAACCCAGTTTTCTTCCTGTATTTTGCTCAGTTTATCAGTTCTGATCCCTGCATCTGAAAACACCATCATGCTGCCAACACCAAGTCTCAGTGTAGGCATGCTGTGTTTAGGGTTAGTGTCATATTTCCGCTCCGTGTACCATCTTGAGTGTAGGCCGTAAAGTTAAATGTTGGGCATCTTCTGCCACATGTTTGTTGCGTGGGTTTTGGAGAAATGACACACATATCGCTGACGGAAAACTTCCTATAAAGGTTTCTTTCAGCAATGCCGTTCTTCTTGACACCCTTGGGTAATGACCAGGTTTTTAGAGCGAGCAATAAAACTTTGGGTCCATGGTTTAGCATCTCCCCAGATTTTAATCCCATCCAGAAGGTATGGCCAAACCTAAAAAAGCAAGTGAACGAAAACAAGTTGTGAGAAACTCAAAGCAAAGTCGAGACTTGACTTATGAACTGTTATAGTGCAGAAGAAGGAGAAATGTGCTTAGCTACAGCAGAGAGACTCTACTGAAAACCCATTTTGACTGTTTACTTCTAATGAATGATAATTAGCTAAAACTGAAAGATACACACCTCCACATATTTGTATTGCACTGAATGAAATCTGATTTGTCCTGCTTTCCCCTGACCTTTGCCCTGCTTTGGACAGTGTTTCTTACTAACCGCAGTGCATTACTGAAAGTCAGCTCTCATTTTCCAGAAAAGAGTTCTAACTAGCTGCTTGTACAGTCTTTTGACTTGTCATGCTCTAACCTCTCTGTTTGTTTGTTTTTTTGTCTTCTTGTCTTCTCTCGGCTTCTCTGTCTTCCGTCCTGCTGCCATCTCTCCTCTGCTGTCCCATTTCCTGCATGCTCTCCTGGACCTCGCAGAAGACCTTAGCGGGGACGGTAAAGTTACACTGTTGTTTATCAATCTCTGTATTGTTCTTTCTTTCTCGTCCTGCCCTGGCTGCACACTGGCTGCAGCCTCCAGGGAAAGGGTAGCATGTGTGTATTTTGGTGTGCGGCTTGACGTGATGCTTACATTCCTGCATCTTTAACAAAAGCTGTGTGCACTTTTATGTAAATTTACTGTGGTTTAAGCAAAGTAGGGACAAAAAAAGACAATGAAATTCAAAGTTATCACCTACTGCATAATCTAATTTTCCTGCTGTGTAGAGCAGCATAATCAGCTCTAATATCTGATTTTTTTTTTATCTTTTTGAAAATGCGATACTACAGAGTATAAACATGTCTGCTTTAAACCAAAGAAACCCACAAAAAGCAGAATTAGTAAACCCACAATTGCTCTGTTAAGGTTTACCTTTCTCTCAAGAAACAGACACCCAGACAGCCACACACAAAGCAAAATCTGCAGTCTTGAACATTTACACTTGCACACACATAAGGACCAGAGGAGGGAGAGGTTTGCTGGATTCTAATGTCAGTGCATTCCTGGCTATGAGGACCTGGCTAAATCATACACACTTAGACACAGAAACATGTTAATTTTCTCTCCTCCAAGCTGAAACGGACTGAAGAGAAATGTTCATCCCTGCTTAGAATGTGTCTCCAACTGAGTAAGACTAAACTGCAATCAGCTCAACGAAAACAAACCCATTTTGCAAAAAAAAAAACAACAAAAAAACAAAACAAAAAAAAAAAGAAACCGAGTGTATAGTGCAGGTCGGAAACTAGCTACAAAGTACAAATCTTTGGCTTGACAATAGATTAGAAAGAAAAAAAGTTTGGAAAAACTGAAATAAATAAAAAGCGTTGCTAAAACGTGGTTGAATGTTGTTTATATGTCTTTTTTTTTTACAAGCTAGCTGCTTTAATTTGACTTTTATCAGTGATTATCTATGTTGTTTATAGTGAGCTTAGATACATAAGCTCCTCCTCTACTTCACACCTACTCACCAACTCGGCTTTCAGACATCTTAGAAAGACAGGAAACTGGAAACTGAGGTGGTTTTTGAACGAGCAGATGGATGTAAGTGTCTATTCAACATAAATAAATTTATCTATTTGTACTTTCTTATACTTTGCTTATTCTCATCAATTATCTCCAAACGGTGAAAGAAACGTGCTGGTCCATGCAGCTACACAAATTTATGAGACTAGAATTTGTATGTTGAATTGCTTTTGTAATTCACTTCTTTCTTTACACTCTTTTTTTCCTTTTTTTTGTTACTGATTGCTGATTAAGGGTCAGATTCAAACTGCAGCAACATCAGCGGTTTAAAATAGAAACCGCTGTGTCGCTCAGTTGAGTCCATGAGTCCTTGTTGCAGTAGCAAGACGAACACAAGTCCAACCTATTCACCAGTGGCTGAAAGAAATGCACCTCAGAAAGTCGTAGATTAATATTTATACATTTATGGAAACTTAAAAATGGAAATATAAACTGATCAAATTATCCATTCAGGTTTATTTTAAAGGGGTGGTTAGGTACGACTAATTGCAACACTTAGGTTTTTGTTAGGTTTTTTTTTTTTGGTTTTTTTTTTTTCAACATCGCCTTTTTTTTGTTTGTTTTTTTACCCAAATCAAAGGCTTTTTGATTCGGGTGCCAGGAGTTCCTCTAAATAAGTCAAAAATAAATAAATCACTGATGTAAAACCCTGATCTGACGTGCAGCAGCTGCAGCTTAGAAACATGCCTACTGAAGTTTCTGTTGCGTTCCTCATTGTGTTGCTTGTTCTGCCTGGCCTGCCTCATTTAACAGACGACTAGTTGTTGTTTCACATGTTGCTCTTCCTGGGATTCCTCAAGACAGAAATCAGCCACAGTGAGATTATTTCACGTAAATTGGTCCGACTCCCACCGAGCTTGATAAATCCCGAGCAGAACTGTGGGAACGTTCAGGACAGCAGATGTTCGACTCCAGTTTCCAACAGCTGAGTCTGCACGCTGATTTTATTTTAAACACCACCATCTGGTTTCACTGACTCGGCCCACCTTTTGCCTCCCTTTTCCCTGCTGGCTCTGCTCTTATCCTCGCCCTGCCTCTTTCTATCTTGTCTTATCTGCCTCACTTGTCACTGATTTCATCCTAATTCATTCCCCCCCCCCCCCCC